TAACCACCCTCATACTCTAATAGACTCTAGAGTATAATTCCTCTCTCTCTCTCCATCTTTCTCTCTCTCCCTACAAGGAAAAGCCCCAACATGAGGAGGAGTTTGGGTTGTTCTGTAATATCAAAACACATGACCATACTTATATAAGAATATTTTTGTTGTTTGATAAATTGTGAATTTGTTCTGTGAATATAAATATATATATGTAAAGTTATAAATATATAACATATAAATATATATGTAAAGTTGCATTCCAACTAGGGACTAGTAATCTCTAGGTGACATATTGGCATCTATTAATTTGCTCTGAATGGGAGATCATGCATGTTTTGAGGGAGAGGGTATTGGGAAATGAATAATAACACAATGGTTTCTCCATGTGGCTTCAGTAGTATTCATCCCAGATTGGCAGAGTATCTTTACGCTGTCTCTTTCCAAGTCACACAACCTTGTGTAATATTGCATTAATCTTTCTGACCTCAAGACATTCTTCCAGGTGCTTTTGGGGAAGATATACGAATCCTCATTGTACAGAACAGAAAAGAAAAAAAAAACCCAGCAAGTTTAAAGAGAATAAACAAGACTGCATAGTTCTGAAGCTTTATTCAAGAACCAAGGCTCTTTACACCAAGGCGCTTTGCCCATTTATAGGGCTAAGGAGTGGAATTGATACTAAGGAGCGATAGCTGTCAATTTCTGGTGGCAACTGAGTTGGTCACTTGTATACAATGAGGCCAGTCTCTGAGTTTGCTGTTGTCCTATCCAGTCATTCTACAGAGACCTTTCTAATCAGCCTCTACCTCTCCCCAGGTCCTGAGCAGCCAGGCACATAAACCTGGGACCTAGGAAAGTCCATAGAGATAACTTGGATCTCTGCTAAGTCCTCATTAACAGTTCACAGCTGAGACAACCAGGCCCTCCATCCTTCCAACGGCTAAGTGTTCCTGCTCCCTTTGGTGCTCACAGAGGAAGTCCATAAATTTGTCTACGCCTGCTTTTCTTAGGCTTGCCACAGGAATAGATTTGGAGTCTTCCAGGTTCTAGGTGCACCACCAGCTCAGTGAAGCTGGAGAAGTAAGGAGTGACGCAGGATGGGATGGATAGAAACAGGATGCCCGTTCCTTCTCTTTAATCCACCACCACAGCACAGAGAGGAGAAATCCTTTATCATCAGCTGCAACACCTCCTCAGCCAAGATCAACCACACCCCAGACAACAGTTTGGGAACTACTGAAAAGGTCTCCTCTTCTAACCTCTACAGAGACTGAAAGTCAAAAGTCCATCACTCAGGGAGATGCCCCAAGAGGCTTCTTTGAAATGAAGTGAGCTGTTGGAGGTTTTGCAGAAAATAACTGCACTACTATGGGGCCTTACACACTCTCCTTAACGCTTCTGATCTTAGTTTTTCCCCTGCACAAAGAAGAGCAGGAAGTAGAAGGCAGGTGTATTTTCACATCTAAGAAGTGAGGTGAGGTGTCCCTATTCCTTTTCTCTCATGGTCTCAGATCAGAATGAGGAAGAAAGGGGGGTCCTGGTGGTAGGGCCACCAGAGGTCCTGTTTTACTCAGAAACAGTCTTGTTTTAAACAGTCTAAAGTTCTTTCTTTGATCTAATTGAAATCTTTCATTCTGCCTTTTTGCCAAATTAAAATATATATATTCAGGGTTATTCTGCTTCCAGGCATCCTTACTTCAGTCCCCAACTTATGTGTGTAAAATCTAAGATACATTAAAGGTTTATTCATCAGTTTCTGAAGTTTAGAACTAAGAATGTGATGCAAATGCTCTCAAAGAGGATGGGTTTAAGAAGTAAAGAAGGTTCTAATAATAACAACCTCCAATATGTGTTGGACATTTATTGTGTTACGGGAAATTTTGAGTCCTATGTAATTGTTTGACATATGCCATCTTCTTTAATCTTTGTAGTGGTCCATGTAAAGTAGATGCATTTATGATCATCTTCAATTTAGTAGCTCTTTTTGTTTGCCCACTTGCTTGTTTCCTTTGCAGTGCTGGAAATCAAACCTGGGGCTTGTGCATGCTAAGCACACATACTCTGGCCGATCTACATCCCAAGTCCTATTATCCTCAACTTAGAGATGAGAAAACTGAGGCACGGAGAATTTGAGAATGTTATCCAAAGTTGTACATCTTTTCTGTAGCAAAGCTAGTATTTGAATTGAATAATTAGATCATCTGACTTCAGAGCCCACTCTAGATTTTACCACTGTGCTGAAATGAGAAAAAAAACAGGAACAAGGAAAATATTACTGTGTACTAGGTTTCAATCTCATACCTATCTCTTTCAAAATTAGGATGAAGAGTAGGTACTGTGATTAAACTTTGGTTCCAATTATTTACATATTCAATTCAAATCATACAGGAAAAATGAAACTGAGCACAGGTTGTTCAAATTCATTTCTTGGACTCTTTCCATTATGACCCCCTCCTCCCTCCAGTGCACCCAACTGCACATCATAAGCTGAACTTACTATGTTCTTTGCTATTCTACTCTGACTTAGAGGGGATACCTTGTTCCTCAGGCCTTTTTGGAAGGACTGAATATATAAGCTATTCAGAGTAGAATGTTGTTGAGGATCCCGGGTCACTCTGAGAAGGAAAAGAAAAAGATCAGGGAGATCTTGACGCTGTTGTGAGTTATGCCCTGGATCTCTTTGAGGGAGGAGATAATGAATAATGGAAGAACAAGCCTCAGGCTGCAGCTGGCTCCTGCAGGTCTCTGTACCAACAATACCCCTAAGGACCTCTGCTGGAAAAAGTAGTTCATGTGTAAGTGGAGTTAGAACAAAGCTAAGCCTTAGAATAGGAATGGAAACTCAGAGCCAACAGAGTTTTAGGATCCCTGTGAGTAACACGGGTAGCTTCTTCTGCTGAGAAGAAACTGCTGTCACATGAGGAATGAGGCTCAGAGTCTGACAGAAGAAACAGTAGTGGATTCGAATCCAGGAGATCTTGCTTTTGACCCCAGCTCTATGTGATGTGATTCCATTCTTTATATATATACATATATATTAATATATATTATATATATGTCTATATATAATATATGTGACTTTTCTGATCATACCAGTGTAAGCTAGTGTAACATATCTGCAGTAGCAAAAACACCATAGGGAAGCTCCAGGACTCCAAGCACAGCTCAGTGCCAGTCTTGTGCCTGGGAGCACAGGAGAAGCACAGGTGACAGTCTCCTTTCCCTCTGAGTGCCCTTGTGGAACTGTAGCTTGCAGAGGAAGCTGAGATGGTGAGGTCTGGGTATGGGGCAAGGATCTAGGGAGGCAAAAGTGCAGAGCAGGCAGGTGGGAGATGCAAAGGGTGCAGCTGTGCCCATGCAGAACAGATACCAGGCACAGCTGAAAGTGCAGTGTCCTAAAATGATCCCCAGCCTCCGCCTCCTCCTTTTCACTTAACCTATGGAGGAAAAGGATGGAAAAGTATGTGTGTGGTGTGGACCTGGAGGAACTAGGATAGTCATTCCTGGAATTTGGCCGAGAGGAAGTGTCTAAGTAGAGCCCACTCCCTTAGTTCAAGACTTTCTTAAGAGCCCCTTGCCTGGATATGGGTTGTGCTTATCCTGTGATTTTGTGAGAGACATTCCCAGCCGTGGTGGCAGTCAGCCTTCTCCTTCCATGTAAAGTCTGGGCTTGCCTTGTGGCCAGCTGGGCCCTGATCCAGACATTCCCAGGGTCCAGAAGAGCCAGTAGAGCCCCCATGGTGAAGGGGTTAGGACTAGGCCCCATGACTTGGCAAAGACTCATCCTTTGGAAGGAAGCTCTGGTTCCTAAACCAGTAAGACTCCCATGTGGGAAAGTCTGGCCTGAGACTTTACCTGTCTCTGCCCTGCAGGAGTAAGGGAGCAGCAGGTGAGTCCAGGAGGCATTGCTGCAGAGAGGGCTATGTGGGAATCTGATAGCTTCAGGTTCATTAGTGGCTGGGACCAGGTTAGAGCACCAGATTCTCTACTCCAAGAAATTCTAGGATATAACTGTGGTCCTCACATGGAACACAGAAGGTTCACTTACCTTGGGTCCTTCCTTCCTTAAATTCAGGTAAGTAAAATCTGTCCTCCTTTTCTACCACCACTGTTTTAACCTGGCCACCAGGGGCACCATCATTGTGGCATCTGATCCCAGTCCCTTCTACTATAACCTAGTTGATGATCCTCTGTGTCCTTAGTGGACATCAGATGTTCCTAGACTGAATTCCATGGAACCCAAAGTATCTTCCCAGGGATCAAGGACAGAGGAAAGGAGCCACAAACTTGGGTCAGAGAGACCCAACTTTATACTGATCCAAAAAGGGATTAAGTTCCATGAGCCAAATTTCTAAAGCTGTGGTAGACCAGCGCTAGAAGGATGGATATCAGGGGTACCAGGAAAATGCACTGGACAGAGAGGGAGAATGAAAACTTAGAGAAGTGGATCTGAGCTTTAAGAAAAAGCTGTCACAAATGGATTATGGAATGGGAACTTTGGGTATATGTTAGTGAATGAATTGGAAAACAATCTTTCCATATTTTCATCCTCCTGGCTGACATCTCCACTCAGATGAGGGGAACAGAGAGGCTGTTCCGCCAATGGAGGGATTAGGCTTAGACAACACAAATGACTTCCCCATGTGTCTGGCCTGATATGGAAACATTTCATCCAGACGAGAAAGCTCTGTCAGAAGAGCATGGTGTTCAGTCAGATGAATTTTGACTCAAATTTTATCTCTTCTATTTACCAGTGACCAGGAGTTTGTTAAACTCTCAAAAGCCAAATTCTCTGATCCATCATATGGGAAGCAGGCTCCTGACCACTAGGACATCCATTGTGTAGTATATGACAGATCTCTGTGACAGTTCTTGACTTGAAAACACCATAACATCTTAACCTCTGGCCCTCACCCCCACCTTACTAAACTCTCTCTAGAACTGGTGCTTTCCTCTCACTGGGCCTATTTATGCCCTGTAGGGACAGATCCAGGTGGAACCAGAACATGGAGCTGGATCCTGCACTTCCTGCTTTCAGTCGTACTGTGCTGCTCTCTAGGCCTGGGCCATTTGTCCTGCTGGGGGTGCCAGGTCTCGAGGCCCTGCATGCCTGGCTTTCTGTCTCCATGTGCCTACTGTACTTGGCAGCTCTGATAGAGAATTCTCTTCTACTGAGGCTGGTGGCAACTGACAAGGCACTTCAGACTGTAATGTATCAGCTACTGGGGCTTCTGGACGCTGCTGACCTGATTCTGGCCACATCCACAGTGCCCAAAGCTCTGGCTGTGCCCTGGGGCTTGTCCAGTGAGATCTCCTTTGGAGCCTGTCTAGCTCAGCTCTTTGTTGCCCATGTGGCCTTCATTGCTGAGTCCTCTGTGCTGCTGGCCATGGCTGTGGACCGCTACGTGGCCATTTGTCAGCCTCTGTGCTATGGGGCCTTGCTGACCCAGAGCGTGGTGGGCTTAGTGGCTGTAGCCGCTGTGACCCGTGGTGCCTTCGTCATGCTGCCCCCTGTGGTCCTGCTCCAGAGACTGCCTTACTGTGGGCAGAGGGCCCTACCGCACACCTACTGTGAGCACATGGGTGTGGCTCGCCTGGCATGTGGAGACACATGCCCCAACGTCTGGTATGGACTGGCCACCACACTGCTCTCCCCATGCCTGGACCTGGGCCTTATCACTGCCTCCTATGTCCTCATACTCCATGCTGTCTGCAGCCTGCCATCTCAAGGTGCCCGTCACAAGGCCTTGGGTACCTGTGGGGCCCAGGCCAGTGTCCTTGTTCTCTTCTACATGCCTGCCCTCTTCTCCTTCCTAGCTCACCGTTTTGGTCACCACACAGTGCCTGACCATATCCACATCCTCCTGGCAAACCTCTACGTGGTGCTTCCCCCCGCCCTCAATCCTGTGGTCTATGGAGTACAGACCCAGCAGATCACTCAGAGGCTGAGGCACTTGCTTCGGCTTTTCTGGGCAGGGCCACTGAGGAAGGTGGGCTCTGAGAGGGCTTTTCCCCAGGAATGAACACGCGCTGCATTTTCTCTAGTGTTAGCCCTCTGAAGTGCAAGCAATGTGTGGAACTCGTCTGGACAGAGCTCTGACCAAGGTGCCTCCAGTTGCTGCTCCTATGTGGCCCTGTGCTCACTCTGACCTATTCTATTCCCATGACAAAGGAAGAGTACTCTGAATCGGCCTCTCCCTGCATGGCTCTACCTGCACTGTCCACTCCTGCTCTTTACAACTCTTCATTGACCTCCACAGCTACATCACACACATGCCAGTTATGTTGGCCCTGGACACAGTCTGAGCACTAGGATCTTGTTTTTCTCCATCACTCTACCCAGACAGACTCCTGGATTAGTGAACAGTGGCTCTGAGAGGGGCTTTTGTATAGTGCCTGGCACTAAGCAGGAACTCCATGCTTGCTGAAGCCATGAAGACAGGAGGGTCTGAGGAAATGCTACAGTGTGAATAAAGTAGAACACATCTCTGGAAAGTGACTTGTTTTCTGACCCGGCTGATGTGTTATCTAGGACTCGGTAACCGGAGAGATGGCAGACAATACTGTGGCCACTTCCCTAGGCTGGTTCCCATCTTGGATCAGATACTGAGGCTACTCCTACTTTTCTACCTTGTGTCATTGGCCAGCTGTAGTTGAAAATATACTGAAGAAGACTCAAGCACCCACTGCCACGCTTCATGTTCTATTCTCCCACCCATCCCTCTCTCCCTCCCTTCCTCCCCATGGTGCTGCAGATCTAGTGACACTCACCCACCCACAGCTCCTGGACCTGTTTCCTACTCCATGCAGTTTATGTTTTTAAACTCACACTTCTATTATTTTCCTAACCTCCATTTTCTCTGGAACTCATGGTTGCAGGAAGGGCAGCTACAGGAGTTAATGGAGAATGAGTATCTGGCCTTGGGCAGGAAGGGAGTCAGAGGGTGAGATAATAATATGACACCACATCAAGGATTCCCCAATCCAGCCCTGCGCCAGACTCTTCTAGAGGCTTCATATGACTTACTCTACTAGGAATATGCCAGCAAAAGAAACCTAAAAGATGAGATGAGTAACAGATGACCTTAATGTTATGTGGCCATAGTATCTGAAGTCAGAGGTGCTATGAAAAGGAGGGAAACAACAAAGGATGAAGATAGTAGAGCTATAGAAAAGTGGGATCATACATTGTCATTAGGAAATCATATAGACATTTGCAGGAAACCTGGCCTCTCTTAGGCACTTAGGTGGATATAAGACGCTTCACTGCCTGAGATGTACTCAAGTGAGATGGCAGAGAAAGAGAGCAATTTAAGGTGCCTGGCACCACTGACACTGAGCTGTGATGCCTTGTCTAAGACTCAAGAAACAAAATATTTCTTCTCTATAGGAATATCCACTTGAGAGGTCAGAGGAATTGAAGCTCAACAGCTACTTATGGAAGAAAAAAAATATTGGGTAGGGGCTTTCTTGGAGCACCAGCAGTGACCACGAAGCAAGACTAGGGAAAGTAGGGGGAGCATTTGATAGTAGAGTGGGATGGAAAAGTTTAGAGAACCTAAGATAGTGGAGGAAGCAGATTACTGGAGGCAAGGGCAAGTGTGTAACAGGGCAGTCAGGTGGAGTGTTGCTGAAACAGTCCTCCCAGGTGGACCTTCTGGCCCTCGTCCAAGGACACACAGTTAAGTAAATGGCTTCTGTCCTTGAGATTGAACAGGTAGGGTTGCATTTCCTTCTAGAGTCTTCCCTTTCTCAAAGTTAGAGAAAGACCATAATCCCCACTGAAAGGCCCCCATTCCAAGGTCCCCACAAGAGGTGTCAAGTTTGCCTTAATCTGTTTGGACAAGAGGCCTGGCAGGGCAGGGCAGATCTCAGCCTGAAGATAGACAAGGATGAGCCTGTTTGTAGAGGGAAATCCACTCCCATCCATGTATGGGGGCACCAATCTGTCATAATCCTCTTCCCCACCCTTTTGACCCTCTCCACATCTTCTCAGGTTCTCAGCCCTTTCAGATGTCAAAATCTGTGCCCCTGTGGACTGAGGCCATTCATTTGCACTGGAGATAAAAGCCCAGGGGAGCCCCAAGGTCTACTCCACTTCTGCAGCCTGGGCAAGATGCAGCCTGGCTCAGCTCTTCTGGCCACTCTACTGCTGCTGCCTCTGGTGCTCCCCAGAGAGCTGCAGGTACAAGCAGAGGGTGGAGGAGGCCCCAAAAGGTTGGGAAGATGGTCCTGTGCTTTGGGCTGGCTTCCTTTTGCACTTTGATCAGAACTTCCAGGTGTCCAGGAGATGGTGAAGGCAGAGAGAACTGGGAAGGAAAGGAAGATGACCGGGACACTTTTGCTTTGATTTTCCCTCTGCTTCTATGGGGATAAGGTGAAAGAGAGACAACGATAGAGAAAAGAACTCTGGACTGTACACCTTGCTCAGTTAGGAGGTCTCATTTTCTATAAGAAATTTGCCAACTTCTTCCTAGACCTGAAGGTGGCCTGCCCGGGCTATCACAGAGCCTGTCTTAGCCTCACCCCCAGAACTGTTTCACTGGCGTTTCAGAATAAAGGCATAGTCAGGGTAAGTTGTGTGTGCCAGGGGTAGAAAAGCTCTAGGTGAGACTTGTGAGGGAAGTACAGAGGCCACACATTTAATTCCTGAATGCTCTATAAGGCTTAATTGAGAAATTGGGAAGGAGCCTTCCATTTAGTGTACGCGCATCCAGCTTTCCAATGGGACTGGCAAGATGGTTTGAGAGAACTAGGAAAACTCGTGTGAGTAATTCTACTGTATACCTACAGCCATTATAGCACTATTTCTGCTCCATGCCTCTCTAAATCTCCTCTTCCTCCCTCTCTCTCAGTGTAAAGCAATAACATAAATGCCATAATTTCCACTATTATATACCCCAAAATACTAGAACACAAGAGAGATTAAATAATTTACCCCAATGTCAGGAGCCAAAATGAGAACTCAGGAAATCAGGTTGTAGAATCAATGGGTTGGGATCTATGTAAATATGAAAATCATATGATAGACAAGGTGAAGAAGACTCCCCATCATGCATCTCTTAGCCCTAGAACATTCCTCATTGCTCTAAAGAGCTGAGACAAGGGAGCATTTGCTGGTTTTACTTCACCTTTTTGGCATGGGCTGCATACCTGCCTTAACATCACTTGCAGCTCTGCTGCCCTCTAAGTTATAAGAGCACAGGATCAAAACAATCGTGTAACCTAGGGGCAGCTTGCAGCCCATTGTTTTTTAAACATGTGACTTCACTGGATATTTTTAAGGTCTCAGATTATTTTGACATGCAGCATATGGATGAAAATTCACACTGTAATGTTTTTGTGAATGTTAAATAATTAGTCCAGACTTTGATGATTTAGGGTGCTGTTACTGCTAATTCCCTTCTTTGATGATTAGGAGTTCTCTGCTGTCTTCAAGACAAGGTGAAGCTGTGGGGATCTACAAACCCCCAGGGCAAAGATACTGTGGAAAATTGAATCTCCTTAAACTCGACCCCTCACACTTCTCTGGAGGCCAGCTTTGCTCTCTTCCATGGTGCCTTAAGGAAAAGCTGGTTTCCATCTATGTGAACTGCAGTCCAGGAGGTAGGGTGAGAGTGGCCCAAACACTAGGAGTTAGACACAGATACAACTTCAGTTAAAGGAAATTAAAAGAAGGATGACTGAAACCCCTGGTGGAAGGGTGTCTAGATAATCAGAAGGACACCCTGGCAGAGGGTTCTGTGCAGTGCCCTCTTTTCACACACTCCAGAGCAGGCTCAGCTTCTCCACCTCGTGTTTGCCAACAGTGCATTGTGGTACAACATACTTTATTAAGCTTAGTGTGCCTATGGTACTTTTACAGCTGGTGAGAAGTATGTCAAACCTAGTAGATGAGAGTGGCACCTGCCAGTGTGTGGCCCACCTGCCCAACAACTCCATCCTTCTGGAGCAGCCGGAGAAACTACAAAGTGCAGTCCAAGAGCTCTTTGACAAGTATGAGCAGGAGCTATCCAGGGTCAGCGCTGGAGCTGTGGGCTGGGGCCGGGCTGGGGCCGGGCTGGGGCCGGGTTGGGGCTTGGAGTTATCCACTCATAGGCTCTATGGTGTTCAAAAAAGGGATGAGTCCTGATAGTATGGCAGAAGCTTAAAAACTGGATAGTGGAGCCCTTGTCTTAGAGATGAATCCTTAGAGGGGAAAATAGGAACAATTTTTGGGATCCCTAATGGTAGTAATAGTATAGAGAGGCTTATGCAGGGGTGCTTACCACATTTATGGCCTAACTATTGGCTATGGATCCGCTAGATATGCACAATTGCTTAGGGTGTCTTCCCCTAGAGAGCTCCTGGGGAATCTGGAAGTGATGTGGCCAGACTGGAAGCTGGGAGTCTGTCCATTCATTCTCCTACCCTCTAAGCCAGTCCTGAGGGGTGGCTATAATCAGGGAAGGGAGAAAAAGGTATAAGTGGTATGAGTTTAAAAGGTTTTTTCCTGCAGCATAAAGAAGGAAGTGAGGTCCTGAACTGTGAAACAGGGATAACACTAAAACTCACATCAAGGGCTTAATAGAAGCAAATGAGAAAATATGCAAGTGTTTTGCAAGCTGTATGTCCCTGGAAGGATGTAAATGGATAGGAAAAGCCACAGAGGTTGACATTTGAAGGAACTGCTTGTCCATTCCCCATGCCTAGGCCTGTGAGTATGTACATGCCATGGAAGATAAAGGCAACCAGGCCCTGGAGATGAGCAACATGCGGGAGTTCAGGAATCCCAGTGCCATCGTTCCTTCCTATGAAACCCCAGCCTTTAATCTGCTGCACCTGGAGCTCAAGAGAATGCAGGAGTTGGCAACTCAGCTTATGGCCAAAAGTGGAGTTAATGGGTCCACAGACCTCCTCCACCAACTCCAGGAGCAGGTATGTGGACAGATTGAAGAACCCCCCGCCCCTTCCTTTCATGGCCTTCTTTCTTATCTAACCTCACATATATGACAGTTTCCAAAATCATTCCTTTCTCGGGAAGAAGACCCTGAACTGAGAAATATGAGAGCCTGAGTTCAGTTCTTGAGAACATTTTGCAATCCACATCCTTAGCATCTTGTTTCCTTAGGTGACCAATGCCAGCCTCACCCTCAGGCTTCTGGTTGACACTGAGCAGAGCACCAGAGCTTTCCAACAGGAGGTAGATGTCCTTGAGGGCCGACTGAGTGTGAGAAGGAAAAGAAGCATGAACCGGCCTCCAGATTCTCTGGTGCACACCTACCCCCTGGTAAGTTAACTGTATTTCCCAAGAGCTTGTTTCCCCAGGGACTCTGTGGAGAGTACAGGATTGGAGACAGTGAGCTGGGGGAGGGGTCAATAAAGACCTGGATGGGAAAAAAATCTTCATCTTCTTTGTTTAATGTGTTACCAAGGAATGGAGACCAAACTTGGTATATTTTCATACTGGGCACACACTATACACACACATGTGGACACCTCCTATTCAGAATACACATTCACCTCTATTCTTCAGCCAGTCTATGTATATAATTGTGTCCACCCCTGGTGGCTGAAAATGCTCTCCAGTATACACAGTTATACTTCACACTGCTTTCTGTGGCTTTGCATTCTGCATGTAGCTCACACTTCACTTGCTCTCCCCTCTAGGTTCTTGTGCTCATGGAGGCCTCCAGAAGGTCAGCAGACCTCTTGTGTTGCAGCTCAATTGGAGGGGCTTATCCTACAAGGCAGGCATCTGGGGCCGAGACTCAGCACCCAATTCAACCTCTTCCCTTTACTGGGGGGCCCCTCTTCGTCCAGACGGCAGGTGAGTCCTGAGTGACATGTTTTCCGCAACCAAGTTCATTCCAGAGGTCTCCTACCCTTACCCTAGAAGGCTGATTTATTTATTTTTTGTAATTCTTGCCCAGCTTCCTCTCTCTATTTTAGTATGCTTCTGTGTAAATCTATCCTAGACCTAATTGTTCACCTCCTAACGCTCTTCTCATGGCACAGGTGTGGCCCAGCATGCCCTAACTTCCTTTAAAAATACATTGCCTGAATTTTAAAAATTTTATCATGATTTAAAGATTTTTTTTCTCTAATCTGATCTTAACTCATCTATACTTTTGCCTTACAAACCTAGGTTTCTACTTAGGAGAAGTTTAGAGACTGGCACTGAGGAAACTTGAGACTTGGAGTTAAGCTGATTTGAATTTAATTCTCAGTACTCCCACTTACTCCAAGTGACCTTGAGAAAAAGGATCCATTCTTTTTGTTTTTGTTTTTTTTTTGGTACCGGGGATCAAACTCGGGTCCTTGTGCTTGCGCAGCAGGCGGCAAAGCCACTGAGCTAAATCCCCGGCCCAACCATCCATTCTTAATAATCTATAAAATGAGGATAGGTAAATTTATGAGAAGAGTACATGAAATAATATGGAAAAGTATGGATAACATAATAGGTACTGAGAAGAAATTTATTAGGTAAAAGAAAGTCTAAATGAGTAGATGACTGAGTCATTCAACATGTCACCCTGGCGAGGGAGTTGCACATAACTCATGAAGTATTTTTTTTTTTTGCGAATTCCCTCCCCGCCCCAGTATGTTTTTCTGGTACCAGGCGGCGAACTCGGATCCCCGGCTGCGCCCCCCCTTCCAAACCTTTTAAAACTGATTGATTTTTTTTTGTATTAAATTCTTTTATTGGTACATTGTAGGTATACAACACAATTACATTTCTCATTGGGAATTGTACCTCTACATAATGCATCTTGGTTCTTATTGTTTCCCCATTCCTAGCCCTCCCTTCATGCCCTCCACCCTTCCCTATTTACAAAGACTTTATTTCCATTTTTTCCATTTCTCATCATTTTTCCTTTCCCTTCTTTCCTTTCCCCTGCCCCTCCCACTACCCCTACCCCTTTGGACCTTTTCTTCCTATTTTGCATGATCGATTATTCATTCTAATCATTGGTACATTTTAGGTATACAATAGAATGACATTCATCATTGGAAATTTGCACCTTTACATAATCTCTCTTGGTTCTTATTTTTCATCCTTGCCCAGCCCTCCCTTCAACCCCTCCAGTCCTCCCTATTTACAAAGATTTTGTTCCTATTTTTCCATTTTCTCATATTAATCCCATTCCCTTCACAACCCCAGGAAGCAAAGCAGAATGAACCCATCTGGCATGACAAGAAATTAAATGTAAAGGGGGAGAACCCAACAAAAAGAAAAAGTCATGGCAATGACAAGTCAATACACTTCAGTTATAACCATCAATGCTAATGGTCTCAATTCACCAATCAAAAGAAATAGACTGGCAGAATGGGTCAAGGAGCAAAATCCAACAATATGCTGCATACAAGAAACACACTTAATTCAAAAGGAAACTCATAGACTGAAAGTTAAAGGGTGGAAAACAATACTCCATGTGACAGGAACCCAAAAAAAAGCAGGAGTAGCTATCCTCTTTGCAGATCAAGTAGATTTCAAACCAACGCTGATTAAGAGAGACGAAGAAGGACACTCCATCCTTGTAAAGGGAAGAATCCAAGAGGAAGAGATGACAATCATAAATATTTATGCACCAAACACTAGTGCACCCAACTATATAAAACAAATACTAACGGACATGAAAAGTCATATATGCACTAATACAATTGTAGTGGGGGACCTCAGCACCCCACTGTCACAAATAGGTAGATCAACTAGACAAAAAATAAGTAATGAAATACTAGAACTCAGTCGAACTCTTGAACAAATGAACTTAACATATGTTTACAGAGTGTTCCACCCCACAAAATCAGAATACACATTCTTCTCAGCTGCACATGGGTCATTCTCATGAAGTATTTCAAGTAAGCACATGTAGAAGTGTGGTAAGATCCAACTGAGTAGAAGATTCTCAGAGAGAGGGATAAATGTGGGTTGAACCAGTTACTGAAGAGCCCTAGTTAAAGCTATGTGAAAAAGATGAGCATTAAGGGTAATAATTCCTCTCAATTTGTATACAAAGTTGAAAGTTTTCAATGAAAGTTTTCAATATGTCTTTGCCCAGTGAATCTTCTCTTAATTGTGGTTGATGAGTTAACACTTATTGCCCAATATTAAGAAATGAGAATTCTCATAATCCAGGATCATTTAAGTGACTTTCCAGAATAGTCAAATAAGCATACACTCCTTGGATCCAGCTCCAGCTCTGTGTCTTCTACAGGACACTGATATCTGAAGGACAGGTGGAGGCAGTAGATTCTGGGCACAGAAGACTGTCCATAAACAAGAAAACATAATCACTGCTATTTGTTCATTGCTCAATTGGATATACTGTACTTTTGCCACATAATCTTAACCAGTCCTGACAATCAAGGAAGTACATTTTTTTATTACTCCTTTTATAGATTTTACTTATAAGCTTTGTGACCTTAAGCAAATTACTGAACCTTTCTGATTAAAGTTAGATTAATCTCCTAATCTGTAAAGATAAAACTTTACAGGTTTTTTTTTTTTTTTTTTTTTGAGACAAGATCCAGCTCTGTATTGCAGGCTGGCCTTGAACTTGTGGCAAACCTTCTGCCTCAACCTCCTGAGCACTGGGATTGTAAGTGTGTGCCATCATGCCTGGCTTTTATAGGGTTTTTTTTTTATCACAGTTAAATGATAACAATGCATACAGAGGGCTTAACAGATGTTGTAGCTATTGGTTTTTTAAAATTACTGCATTGCTATTTTTAGAACAACTATTTATTTTTTCATAGCATGTAGTAAGTAAAAGATGGATTAAAAATCAATTCTGTTTGACTTGAATGCCCTTGCTCTTAATTGGTACACCAGGCCACCCACTTTTACAGCACTTTGTTACCCTAATTATTGCTGTCACTTATTGCTTCTGATGGGGGGCTTGGCCTAGGTACTTTGACTACTATCGGCTACACAAGTCCTTTGATGACCTCATGCTACTGAACAACTATGAAGAGTGGAAGATGGGCTATGGTGATGGGAGTGGCAATACGATGTACAAGAATTTCATGTACTTTAACTACTATGGCATTGGCGACATGGCCAAGGTGGACCTTTCTTCCAACACCCTGGTGCTGTGGCACCCATTGGCCGGTGCCACCTACAATAACCGCTTCTCCTATGCTGGTGTGCCTTGGAAGGACATAGATTTTGCAGGTGATGAGAAGGGACTGTGGGTGCTCTGTGCCACCGAGCAGAGCAAGGGCAACCTGGTTGTGAGTTGTCTCAATGCCAACACTCTAGAAGTGGAGAAAACCTGGCACACCAGCCAGTATAAGCCAGGCCTGTCAGGGGTCTTCATGGCCTGTAAAGCTCTATGCCTTACGCTCACTGAGTACTCACCAAGAGGAGATCTTCTATGCTTTTGATACTACCACTGGGAAGGAGACCCACCTTAGCATCCTGTTGGACAAGATGTTGGAGACGCTGCATGGGATCAATTACTGCCCCTCAGACCACAAACTCTATGTGTACAATGGTGGCTTTCTGGTGAATTATGACCTCACCTTCCCGACACTGGAGCACAGGCTCCCAAGAGCACCAGCCCCAAGACTCTCTGGGGCTCGTGCTCCACCCAAACCTGTTAAACTCAATGAGAGTTCTGGAGTATTAATTTGAGATAATTGTTTATTATTATGTAATATGTTACAAATAATTGTATAATGATTTTTTTTATTTGAAAAGGAAAATGAGATGGTGAAATCATTAAAGCCGTACCTTAAAAATTCTAAATCTTATAAATAACACCAGGCTAGGAATATAGCTTAGCGGTAGAGCACGTCCCTAGCATGTGTAAGGCCATGGGTTCAATCTCCAGTACCACACACACAAAATTCTGAAACAGAAAGTCCTGGTGGGTTTTGAGCAAAAGAAAGGAGTACTGTAATTTATCAGTCTGGCTTCTGAATAGGAAGTTAGGAAAGCAGGACAACCACACAGGAGGTTTTTGCAATAGATCAGATGAGAGATGATAGTGTCTGGGACTAGGGTGGGAATAGTGGAGCTGCTAAGAAATAGATTCTGGATTCTAAAGGGGACCCATAAAGATTTATGTGCTCCTCACAGACAATCCTTCCCTAGCCTTGACCTTACCATCATCAAGAATGGAGGACAAGGCTACAAAGTTCCCAGAGCCTCTAGCAAGCCCACTGAAGATCCTGTTTCACTACCACAATCTGCCACAAACATAAGTCTCAAGAAAAAAATTATGAATAACATGAATTTTTGTTTCTCCACTAAGGTATCTTTTAATTTGATTAAATTTTACACCTGTTTGCCTTACTTTATATAAAAAGTCCCAGCTCTCTGGGTCATCTTTTATATTTTCACCCCACTATGCTCTGAAAATCCATTGTCTGATTCAATTTTCCACTTTTACCAATTCTCCAAACCTTCCCACCCCCCTACAATTTGGAACTCATAATGTAGCAGCAGCACAACCCTCCTGCACAGAACCTTCTTTCTGAAGGTTCCTTACCCTTACCCTGGTATACCAGGTGTCTGCCCACTGAAGATACTGCTTCTCCAGGATGGTGGCTGCCTCTTTCTTTCTCCATGGTCTCAGAAGTGTATAGGTGTCATTCTTGTATCTTCCTGTTGCTGCTTGACTCCAGTTCTCCAGTTTTAAGAGTATCACTGTTCCATTATATAAGCATCCCAGGATAAGTATCACCTAGTAAGCTCACCAAGGTTATATCCAACTCTGCTTCATCTCTGGAGGCAGAAAAAAGTACACAACTGTGCTAATTTTATTTAAATTTATTACCAAAAGCTTTAATTGGACTCCTGGTAATCCTAACTATATATTTCCAGTCAATAACTCTCACTAAATTTTGCATCAGGATCACTAGAATAGTGTGCCAAAGCAGCTTTCTGAGCTACAGTCCAAGGATATCTGACTCAGTAGGTCTAGTGTGATGCCCATACTTCTCATTTTTCAAAAGTTTTCAGGTGCTATGGGTGCTGCTGGCCTGGAGACCATACCAGGAGGTCTACTGGCCCAGTCAATTCATTATTTTTTTTTTTTGATATGGCCTTTTCAAGCCTTTTCTCCTTTTTTTTTTTTTTTTTTTTTTTGCTTTTCTCAAATCTTCAATACCCATTTTCCTATCCTGAATATCAGCTGATATTTTACCTATTTTAACACGAAGACAAAAGGGACCAAAAAGGACTTCCACCAGCATCCACTGACAAAGAACCAACTTCTGTCTGTACCTTATGCTTTTCATTCAGTTATAAGAATAGATTTTCCATGTTCTTAAATCAATCTCTTCTCTTGGGCACTTGCTCCTGTCATTTCTAATCTATCTACTTAAAGAAGGACTTACTCTTGTGTTCGTTTTCCTTTTCTCTGGCACCATTTTTTTCTTCCTCATTGGACTATTTCCATCAAAGGACAAAACAACATCATGCGGTATTCTCATTTTAAGAAAAAGCCAAAAAGCACTACAGTGGACCCTTGACTTATGAACTCAATTCATTTGCGAGGGCTGGTTGTAACTCACTAACTACCTAATCTTAACCAGTTACTGATTTTTAAGTACTTTCTAAATGCTGATAAGTTCTAGACTTGAGTTGTAACCAACTCAAGTTGGCTCTAGGATAAGACTATTTTTCCTATAAGTAACAATTGAAATACCTATATTGAATTCCAAACTTCCCAAAGCCCCCTTAACTAAACTTTTCATAATAAAAAAGTTGTATAATGTGTGTAATTTACTAGAAACACCAATAATTTTCTAGTTTATTCACCAAAAACTTATAAAATGTGCCTAGTTTACCAGAAGCAATTTCATACTGTACTCACCATTCAAGTTGACAACTTTGGTTTGCAGGAAGAGAGAATGAAATGGCAAGTGATTATTGTTTGGAAAGAGAGTCCCTTTCCATAAGAACATTAGGAATCTGGCTCTCTGGTGTCCTTTTTTCTCCCTGGGAGAGTCTGTAGCCCACTAGGACGTGCTCCTAGCTCACTAGATCTATACCTTTTTGGAACTGAAAACTGGTCTAAGTTTGTCTGTTTCTGTCTTTTCTTTAACACTGTTCTGTAGTGTGACATGACATTGTCATTAAGCAAGTGAATTCAATGATTGGCTTTTTCTCTGTCTGGGTGGGTCTTCCCTACAAATGTGTGTAGCTCTGTCCATTTTTTCAGAATTTCCTTTATTTCAGAAGAATTTTGCTGCACTGATTGTTGATACTCCCCCTCCTCTGCAGAAAGCTCCTCAGCTGCAATTCTTTGCTCAGCCAGAACTTGCTGAAGTTCCTCTGTAGACAGTTCCTCTGAGTGTTCCTCCACCAGTTCCTCAACATCACTACTGTCTACCTGCGAGCCTGTGGACTCTACTACAGTGACAAAGTCATCATCTATAGGGTCAGTTGAAGGCTCAGGCCCCTCTACAGAGACTTCAAAGTCTCTCTCCTGTATAATTTTAGACCACACTTTCTTCCAGGAAGATCTTAGTGTCCTTAGAGAGATATTAGCCCAGGATTTTGCAATTAATCCCACATAGGAAAGATCAGCATTCAGGTAGTAACTCAAAACTTTGGTCATAAGTTAAAACTAAAATTTTACTCTTAGTCCAAGTTATTTATATGTGAGGCTGGTCATAACTAGAGGGTCCACTGTAAAAAGTTTTTAAACCCCACATTCCTACATAGCCATTGTTCCCTTTCTCTCATTTACAATATCTTGTGAGATCTACTCACTTTTCAGCTCACTCTTAAATACACTGACAGGCTTTCTGCCTCCATCACTCTTTCAAAGCTGGTCATATCATGGTCTTCAATTCCCCTTCTCTCTCTCTCTCTCTCCCTCCCTCCCTCCTCACCAAATTCAGTTATCGATTTTCTGTCCTCATCTTATTGACTTACTGACATCATTTGATATAGTTGGTTATACTCTCTTTTTTGAAATTCATCCTCTTTTTCTTTTTCTGCCTGTTTTATTTCTCAGTTTTTTGCTGAATTCTTGTGACATTCCACACTTCTAAATGCTTTAGGGTCTGATGTTTTTTATCTCTATCATTTCTCTATGCTCACTAACTACCTAATCTTAACCAGTTACTGATTTTTAAGTACTTTCTAAATGCTGATAAGTTCTAGACATAATATTTAGTCACCTTCCTAACTATCTAGATGTAAAATAGAATCTCAAATATACATAAAACTGTTTAACAACATGATAATTTTCCACTTAAAAGCTTGCTTATTCTCTGGTATTTTTTATTTCATTTTAGTAAATATCCAGTTCATTGAGTTTCTCTGGGGGATAATATTTTTTTGAAAAAGTAAAATACTGGGAAAGTCATCCTTGATTCCTCTCTCATATGCCATATTCTATATATGAGCAAGTCAATTCTTTCAAAATTTATAAATAATACATGGTTACTTAAATCAGACAGAAAACAGGGACAGAGGATGCCTGAAAGAAAACATTTGGACCGGAAGAAGCTGAATTCAGGTCCTAATGACCAAGAAACTTTTTACAATTGTCCAGTCTCACTCTGGGTCTCCATATGCCACCTACAGGGTTCTGTAGGAGCAAAGCCCTTGGCCTGAGAAAATGTGGTCCACTCAGGACCCTTAAAACAAAGAAAGAAATTGAGGTAAAGGAAGTGAAGAGGTAAGGCAGGGTGGGTAGGAGTTCCCAGGAATCCAGAGAACCTTGGAGGAGTCACCAGAATCCATTGTGGGAGGCTGTGATGTCATTCTGAGGTCACAAAGGTGATCAGATGGAGTGAGTTCCAGTCCAGATGGCCTCAGGTGTCTGTGCAGCAAGATGAGGGTGGTTTGGAGCCCTGCATAAGAGGAAGGAGGGGCCACAGCTGATTGGTATGGATTCCCCAAAGTGGGTCCCTCTTCCTACCTTTGCCCCTCAATCATCAACTGATGACGTCTTCCCCAGGGCCTCAGGTTTTCCTTCCTTGCCCCAACATCTCAATCCCATAAACCTATAATTCTTCTTCTAAAGCATCCTGTTCTATGTTTCTCCCATGTAGGCCCTACAGCTTCCCCTATCTTGAACCCTCTTCATACTTGTCTTTTCTACTTTCACCACCACTCTAAGGATGACCTTGGTCTATCCCCATCCCCCAGCTGTGTCCCCACAGACTGAACCTTCTGCTGCCCACCATGGCTAAAAGTGGAGAGGCTCTGCCACAGGGGACCCCAGCGCCAGTCCAGGATCCCCACCTCATTAAGGTGACAGTGAAGACGCCCAAGGACAAGGAAGATTTTTCAGTTATGGACACATGCACCATTCAGCAGCTGAAGGAAGAGATATCTCAGCGCTTTAAGGCCCACCCCGATCAGCTGGTCCTAATCTTTGCAGGCAAAATCCTCAAGGACCCTGACTCGCTGGCACAGTGTGGAGTAGGAGATGGCCTCAGTGTTCACCTGGTCATCAAGATGCAGCGCCACTCCATAGGTACCAAGTGCCCAGCTGCTTCAGTCCCTACCCCAGGTCCAAGTCCTGGATCACTCCCCCAGCCAAGCTCCATTTATGCAGCAGATGAGCCTCCCACCTTCAGCTTAGGTGTCCTCAGTGGGTTGGACCTGATGCCTGGTAGCTTTCCTGACCAGCCAAGTTCACTGATATGGCAGCATGTATCACTGCCTGAATTTTTGGCTCAGCTTATTGATGACTCCTTCATCCAGGGTCTGCTGTCCAACACGGGGCTGGTATGCCAGCGGGTTCTTGACAATCCTCACATCCAGCAGCTGATCCAGCATAACCCTGAGATTGGACATATTCTAAACAACCCTGAAATCATGCGACAGACCCTGGAGTTTCTCCATAACCCTGCCACGATGCAAGAGATGATGCGTAGCCAGGATCGGGCTCTCAGTAACCTCGAGAGCATCCCTGGTGGCTACAATGTGCTTCGCAACATGTACACAGATATTATGGACCCAATGCTTAATGCAGTTCAGGAGCAGTTTGGTGGCAATCCTTTTGCCACTACCACTACTACTAATATCAGTAGCAGCAGCCAACCTTCAAGGACAGAGAATTGTGACCCACTTCCCAACCCCTGGACTTCCACATATGCAGGCTCAGGTGGCAGACAAGGAAGGCAACCTGGAGGCCAAGATACATCTGAAATTAGAAATAGAGTTCCAAATTTTCTGGGTAACATAGGGCTCTATCATTACCTGCAGCAATTACATGAGACACCCCAGTTCCTGGGGACCTATCTTCAGGGGACTGCATCTACTCACAGCCCAAACCAGGAACCACCATCATCAGGAAACCGAGTTCCCTCAACTTCATCCTCATCCCAGGAGCCTAGGTCAGGCCAGCCTCTCCCCAAGGAGTCAGTAGCAATCAAGGGAAATTCTTTTTGTCCAGCTTTCCTGAAATACCAATCAGGGAGCAGTACTGGGCAAGATGGAGGTCAAAATGCTGCAGGGAAGAGCTCTACTGGCCATAGCCCTAGCATGCCTGATCTTGTGTCTGGGCTAGGCAATTCTGCCAACATGGCTCCGTTTGTTCCTTCATCACCTTCTCCTATGAGTGTCCCTCCTGGAGTCCCTCACTCTCCCTGGCTTCCACCACCAGGTCATCCAAGATCTCTGAGACCAGCTGGTATAAATCAGGCTCCCCAGTTGCAGGATGAGATGCATCAACAACTATCACTACCGATGAACCTTCAAGCAGCCATGGGAAACCCCCGTATCATGCAAGCCCTGCTGCAGATTGAACAGGGCCTGCAGACCCTGGCTACTGAAGAACCTCACCTACTCTGCTTCATGCCTACCCTAGCAAGGGTGGGTGGTGTGGAAGGAGGTACACAGATTAGAGAAGGTGTCTTTATGTCCGAGCATCCCCAGCCAACTCCAGCTCTTCAGATTTCCACTGTACAGGCCTCTACAGAGTCAAATTTCCATTCTACTCCCTTCCTCCAGATGTTGCATGCCATGGCTGGTACCAATCCCCAGCTACAGCCTGAGGCTCACTTCCGGGTCCAACTGGAGCAACTCAGGGCCATGGGCTTTCAGAATCCTGAAGCCAATCTTCAGGCCCTCATTGCCACAGGGGGTGATGTAGATGCTGCTGTGGAGAAGCTGAAGCAGTAACAGGAGTGCTAGTTTACAGACCTTATCTGTGGCTTTCCCCTGTATCCTATTACCCTCACTCTCCCATTCTTGAATACAGTGGCACTATAAACCAAATTTACTATGATGCAATTTACTGTGAAGACAGTACGGGTCCAGAGTCAATGAGGAAGAAGAACTAGAAAGAAGTGTGTGTGTGTGTGTGTGTGTGTGTGTGAGTTTTTCTGCATATAACTCAACTACCCCCACCATTGTATTACTGTGGGGGCCCCAGTCTGAGCTCTCTGTATGCCAATCTTGAGATGAAATTACATGCAATCTCCAATGTCAGCTGCTGCCAGAGTCTGGTTCTTATGGGTTATGAGACAAGTGGAGAATATGGGAGAAGAATAGGTGATAAGGGCTGTCTCTAAGGAGGGAAGGATTCAGAGGGAAAACTAAAAGTTTGAAGTTAGAAGAGTCACAGGCATAGCACAGGGGTGGGAAAGTTGTTGCAACCCTTTGAAGACTGAGGTTCATAGTTTTGCTGGTGTCTTTCCTGAACTTTTGTGTTCCGTAGTAGCTGCCACTATGTAGACTGTTTTATGGGAATCATTCCCACCAGCCTATGCAAAGAATCATCATGGCTCCTTACATCTATTGCCCCTGAACTCTGTCCTACAAATGGCTGTCACTTTCAGGATTTAATCTTGATCTTTGGGTAGACAGAGATAGAACAGCTGGGATTCAGGCCAAATCCTAAGAGTCCAGAATTTCACTAAGTTTTTAATATCCCTGGTAACCAGGTTCAGAGAGTTGATTTGTTTGCAACACTTAGCTCAAAAATTAAACATCTAGCCTATGCTCAGCATCTGTGAGCTGTTAAGAAATCATTATCAGTAAGAGAGACACACTACCACTTTCATGAGTTCATGGTGTGGTAACAGCTGAATATCACTATGAGTATTTACAAACTTATGATAGCTGAGCATGGTGGTACATGCCTGTAATCCCAGCACTTGGAAGGCTGAGGCAGGAGGATCACTGAGAGTTTGAGGCCAGCCTGGGCTACATAGTGAGTTCAAGGCCAGCTTGCACTACAAAGTGAGACCCTGTCTCAAAAAATAAATAAAAAAAAATAAGTACAAACTTATGATAAAGCTATGAAGAAAAAGGTTAGGAGCTACAAAAAAGTATAAATGGGTTTCTTGTTGGTCTAGTCTAGGGAGATAGGAAAAGCTTCTGTGTGTATTCAGGGCTAACACTTAAAAAATGATAGGAGTTAAAGGGGCCAGGGATTTAGCTCAGTGGTTCTGGTGCCTGCCTCGCAAGCACAAGTTCCCTAGTTCGATCCCTGGTACCAAAAGAAAAAAAAAAAAGTGATAGGAGTTAAATAGGTAAAATTTTCAAGGGGAGGGAAAAGTATTCCTGCAGAAAAGCCATTATGTATGAATGCACCAAGATAGGAGGTACATCAACCACAGGAGGTGCCCCTAGTATCTCAGATTAAACTCTTGTTTGTCTTCAGGTGTGTTTTCCATTATTCCTCTATCTTTAGGGGTAAAAATGTTACAATCCACAAGCCAATCAAATGAAACATTGTTCCCAGTACTCATACACATACTTATGAAGATATATATATATCTCCATTATATATGTCCATCATATGTATCCATTATATGTATTTTATATATTTTTTTTCTTAGCAGCATATATTCTATATCTAAACTTGTGAGCATATGCTGGTGAGAAATGCACAAACTTATGAGGTATATCTACTTAAATATACTTTCACACAGATAACCTATGCACCTGTGTATATACATACAAAACACAAACATTCAGAGTTTTTACACAGAGTGAGAGCGTAAAGACAAACATTCATTCTCATTAAAGTTGAGAAAAAAAAGAGTCCCTGATGGCATACACTACTATGATAAAACTGGCTGTGTTATGGTTTTAGAAGTCTGAGACCTAGTGTACAGGTAATGTCCATTGGGGACTGAGAAACAACCTCCACTGGGAGCCAAAGACACTCACAGGAGCCTGTCTACCTTTGAGCTACTGGCATGTGGGTCAAAGGAGATGACATCAGCTTTTGGAAACAATTCAAGTCCAGTCATTTTGGTTCAAGTGTGGCACAAGTCTTTCTGGTTCTCTCATTTCCCCATTGTGTTCCTCATCAGTGGGAGCATGCTTGTTCAAATTAAAAATGAACTGTTATTTATAGTGGCAATAGAGGAAAAGAAGAACCACTAACCTTTCCACATCCTGAAACTCATAAGGCAAGTCCTCCAATATGGCCTGCAGTTGGGGAAGGTGGACAGTATAACCCATCATTTCTACCTTTGGAAGGTCAGGTAGGTCTGGGGAAAACTCCATGGAAAGAAATTTCACTGCTTTGATGTGATTTCTGTCCAGGCCAGTGGAGGCTTAAAGGGTCATATGATGTTAAGCTCAGATCACCAAGGCAAACAGCAGAAGGGCTAGCTTTAAGTGTCTTGATGAAGGGAAAGAATATTAATTTAATGGATTGTTTTGTTGTCATGTCCTCCTTTAAAATGTTTTTATTAACACATTATTTATACATGTTTATATGATGTTTCTATACATGCACGCAGCCTGCATTGAAAAAAATCTAACCATCCTTTCCAACGAACACCTTTCCAATCCCTAGTATTCACTATTATACTCTTAGGTTGATTTTTTAAACCTCCATATGTGACATCAAACATGTAGTTCTTAATTATTTCCCTAAACAAAATGTTCTCTAATTCCATGCATTTTGCTGCAAATGACAGAATTGCATTCTTCTTTATGGATGAATAACATTCCATTATATCTATATATATATCTATATCTATCTATCACATTTTCTTTATCCATTCATCTACCTGTTTTTTTTTTAACAATATATGTGATTTTTATTTAGTGAAGACAATGTTTTCAAGTTTTAACAGCCATACACCCTTCAGTTTTACTGTTCACTTTTGATATCAATAGAATATTCATGCAGGTTGTAGGGGGTATATTCATTGAACAACAAAACACTCCAGAAATCAATATATGTACATTATTTACATATCAACTATAGGTAAATAGAAATGTTTTCTAAGGAAAAAATAAGATGAGAAATCACAACTTGTGGTTTCTGGTCTGTAATAGACCTAATTCCTTAGCAAAGCACATCTGTAGATATATGCACTTCTAAGTTTGAAAATGGGTATTGCTTTATATGAACCATTAAATGCTGCTTCATCTATAAACAGCTCTTGCTTTGATTCCATTTGGTGCCACATTAAACTACTTGAAAGTGTTTCAGGACCCTGGAGGTAACGGTGGCTTGTGAGGGTCCAGGGTCAGTCCAAATAAGTCCCAAATGATAACCGGGCCCAGCAAGACAGCTGGAGGGGCCGTGGTGCTGCCTTCTCCCACCCAGCGCTCCTCCTCAGAGCTTCCCACTGCCCTTTGTCTCTGGAGGAAACTTTGTCTTTGGCCACAGTTGGGACCGGTAACTCAGGACTGAGTGCAGGCCCTTGGGTGGGGAGACTATGAGCCTGACAGCCTCACCGCCCTGTAGTGGGAGGGGCCCCACTTCTAGGCAGCCTGGTGGAGCCCAGGTACACATGATGGCAGATGCCTTAGGGTTAATACTGTCACAAGAGAACCTGGGATTAGGTGACTTCATGTAATACTTTCAGTAGGGCAAGGTACTTAAGATTCTGAGCACCAGGGCCTTCTGCACGATCCTAGGTAAACAGCCATCGGGCAGAGTTGGCTCACAGGTGACTGTGGTGATGAGAGAGTCACCAGCAGGTGACCTCGTGCTCACCTCAACACCCTAAAACAGTGCCATATCCCCAGGGCCATGCCTGGGTTAGACCCTCAGGAGAGAAGAAGTGGCTTGCCCCATATGAAATGCTGACCCAAAGCAGTCCCTGGCAGGCTGGCCTGAGGGTGGCCTGTAGCATGGGGGCACTGTGGTTGGGCCGGGTCCTGGGAGCACTAGTGCTCTGAAGACAGTGCGGGGTGGGGGGGTGTTGCATATGTACCAGGCAGGCACGTCAGGGCAGCTGACTTGCCTTGCTCAAACACTAAAGTTTCAGATCTGAGGTATCTGTAAAGTAACAGCATAGAAGCTTGGGAATAAATCAAAATCTCAGTCTAATGCATGACAGGGAGTTTCAGCCTTGGACCCTCTGCACCGAGGTCAGCCACATAGAGGCAAAGGACCCATGGCTGCTCAGTCTCCGCCTCAAGGCAGCTCGTGGGAAGTCTTATTTCTGCTATTTAGTACAAAGCATACATGCATTCAGTCTGAGGTTTTCATTCCTGGACAAAGGACCTAGAATGAAAGGACCTTTGTATTCCAAGGACCTGCCCAGAGGACAGCCATGTAAGAAGCTGAAGAGGGCCCAGGTGTTATGCATGGGCACCCAAAAGGTATGACAAAGTTCCCCAGGAGGGGGCTCTGTCACACAGTGCCCTCATCCTTGCCTAGCTCTGACAGTCTCAATGGCAGGGGCATCAATCTCTCTATTGTATGTCAAGGGTCACCCGAGTTTAGATTTGGGGCTCTCCACTGTTCACAGAAAACCCTAGGTGCCACACACCTTAAGCCATGCTGTGCTCTCTCCCTCCTCAAAGGGCAGCTCAGGTCTGAGAACATGGCACTGTTGGGCCAGGACAGTTCTATTTCTTATTGGCAATCCTCCTTTTCCTTGTTTCCAACAGGTCATAGAAAGGAACCCTACTGATGCTTGCTTTGATGGATTTCCTCCACTCTTCCTTTGCCTCAGGGCTCAGGGCAGAGATGCAATACACCAGCTGATTTCCCTCCACCACCAGGCCGTCATCTTCTGTCTTGCAGGCTTTGATGACCTGACCTTTGTGGCTGCGATTGTAAAGCTCTAAGCAGTTAGGTTTCCGTGGGTCTTCCACCTCTCTGATGCTGAGGTTTTCCAGCCAGATGATACCCCTAGGCTCCTTGTCTGTGGTGTGCTCAAAGTAGTAGAGGCAGTTGTCGGTCAGGGTGAACCAGTGCCGCTTCCAGGTCTTCACACGCCCTCCCAGCTTCAGGAGTCAGCCTTCTCTGTCCGGGTTAAGGAACATGTGTGTCAGGTCATTCCCATCATCCTCTGGGGTTTTAAATGGTACATTCTTGATACTTTCATATAAGTTCCTTAGCAGCTCCTCAGGGAGGTCTCCCCCCTCATTGATGCCACGGTTCATGGTGATGAACCTCTCCACAGTGGGCTTGTCACGCACGTTGTGGTTGTGCAGGCTGGTGTTGAGCGTGATGATGGTGAACGACAGCACATAGCA